CTCTCTCTCTCTCTGTGTCTCTCTCTCTCTCTCTCTCTCTCTATCTCTCTCTCTCTCTCTCTCTCTCTCTCTCTCTCTCTCTCTCTCTCTCTCTCTCTCTCTCTCTCTCTCTCTCCCTCCCTCTCTCTCTCTCTCTCTCTCTCTCTCTCTCTCTCTCTCTCTCTCTCTCTCTCTCTCTCTCTCTCTCTCTCTCTCTCTCTCTCTCTCTCTCTCTCTCTCTCTCTCTCTCTCTCTCTCTCTCTCTCTCTCTCTCTCTCTCTCTCTCTCTCTCTCTCTCTCTCTCTCTCTCTCTCTCTCTCTCTCTCTGCATGGACCTTGTTTCCTTATTTGCGGATGTGATGGCATTGCTGACCCAAGTCCTCGCACCACCACCACCACCCTGAATCTCACCACCACAATGACTTTGTGCCATCGGCTGCAGGTGCCCGGGCAACCTGCAGTGCATCTTCAACACGACCACGAGCAACACGCACATTCAGGAGCACACGTGCGGCTGCCCCGAGGGCCTCATCTTGTTGACGCAGGATGATGGCACGCCCGAGTGCGTCCTGCCTGAGATGACTGTGTGCAAGGTGAGGTGGACGATGCCTGTTGCACTATGGTTGGTGTGTACGTGGTATCGACAACATTGCGCCCTCGTGCTCCTGTCAACTGACATGCGTTGACCCTCCCTCACCGCACTCCCTCGCTTTCTCACGCGTCATACCCACTCAATCGCCTCTTTTCACACATCACCTCCACCACCATCACCACCAGACGCTGCGGTTCAACACTGCCGGCGCCAACTCCCGCGTTGATGGGGTGTATGTGTACGCGGGCATGGACACACTCGGGCAACCCACCTTCATCCACGACGCGGTCACCAACGACACCCTGCGCTACACCACGCAGGCCGGCGCTTGGATCATTGGTGAGCAGCACACGGACCACACTCTGCATGCATTGTGCAAACGTGCAGCTGTGTTTATGCATCTGTGTCTGTGCCTGTGTGTGTGTGTGTGTGTGCATGCGTGTTTATGTGTATGCTCTTTTGTTTTAGTTTAAGTTTTGTTTTGTGTGGGCGTTGGTGCTTGCATGAGGATGTTGCCTGCTTGTTTTGTTGTTATTGCGCGCAATCATGGCATTCACTTTCTATCCAACAACACCATTGCCCTGCTCCCCCCCCCCCCAACTTTCGCCAGCCCCCCCCCCCCCCCCCCCAAACCCCCCCAAACCCCAACTCCCTCCAATCCACCAGTGGACGATGAGGGCGAGGTGAATGCCGTGTGCGTCACCGACGCCCGCGATCAGCCGCGCGACTGCACGTGGCGCGTTCGCCGCACAGACACGGGCGCGTTTGCAACCGGCACCACCATCGCCATTGAGTGCGTGGAGTGCCGCCCTGATGCCGTGTGCCCAGCGGGAAAGATTTGTGTTTCGAACGGTGCTGCGGATGCAGATTACACGTGCGCGTGCCCGCTTGGCCTCGACCCTGTCCCGAACACGCAGACGTGTCTCTCGCGAGGTGAGAGATACTGTGTTGTGGTCCCCTTGTTGTTTCATGCTGTCCAGTGGTGTGGTGTGGTGTGTTGCGCCGTGTTGTGTCATGCTGTGCTGTGCTGTGTTGTGTTGACTTGTGTTGCATGTATAACGCTGTTAACCTTGTGAAACGTTTGTGCGATCTTGGCTGCCCCCTGCCATCTTGTCGCCCACGGCTCGTTCAACTCCGCCATCCATTTCCCCAACTCCTTCTTCCCATTCCCCCCATTGCTGCAGAGAACGTGTGCTCGGTGCTGGATCTCGAGATCCCTGGTCGCGTCGATGCAAACGGCGTCTACACTGCTGCTGGCATCCGCAACGGACGGTTCGTACATGGTGATGGTGTTTGCACTGATGCCGTGGTGCACTGATGCCGTGGTGCACTGATGCCGTGGTGCACTGATGCCGTGGTGCACTGATGCCGTGGTGCACTGATGCCGTGGTGCACTGGTGCCGTGGTGCACTGATGGGATGGGTGCACTGATGCCGTGGTGCACTGATGGGATGGTGCAATGTGGGCGCACTTGTTGAGCTGCTGCTGCTGCTCATTGTGTATGTGCAGCATTGATATGCACCGTCTTGGAATCACCTCGTCACATTCACCCCTTCCAACACCACCACCACCACCAACACCAACACCAACACCACCGACAACACCGACATCACCATCACCATTACCACCACCAACACCACCACCAACAACACCGACATCACTGCTGCCATCATCGACCACCGTTGCGGTGCAGGCTGGAGTACGCGTCCAAGAACACGGCGGCACCATTCACGATTGTCTTCAATGCGGAGTTTCAGCGCTGGCATCTCGTCCACGAAGCGTCAAACCTCATTGTCGCACGACTCGAGACGTCAGTGGCCGTGGTGGCGTGGTGTCTTATGGTCTTTTGCCTTGCATCGCCACTTGTGCATACCAAGTCCCTGACTTGCATTTGCTGCTTGCACAATTTGTTGACGTTGTTACCAACACACACACACACACACATACAATCCACACAATCCACACAATCACACACACACACGTACAATCCACACAATCCACACAATCCACACGGTGCGCAGGGAAGCAATTCTGCCGATTGACTCGATGGTGGGCAACACGACGACATGGGCTCCGTTTATCTTTGGTGCTGGCGGGTACACACCGCAGCCCGGCAGCAGCAGCACCTGCAGCCGCTGTGCAACAAATACATGCTCGACAGGCTTTATCTGCCGCTCCCCGCGTGGTGCTTCGCCCTCTTGCACATGCAACGCGCGTCAGATCGAGCAGGTGTGCTTGGTTGCTTGTGTGTGTGTGTGTGTGTGTGTGTGTGTGTGTGTGTGTGTGTGTGTGTGTGTGTATATACGTCGATGCGCGTGTATGCGGATGTATGTGCGTGGATGTGTGTGGACGTGTGTTTGATGCATTTTGCGTGCCATGTATGTTTTCGGTTTCTTGTCGATTGCTTGATTCGTGTTGTGCACTGTTGCCCACCCCAGCCCCACGTGTGCTGTTTGCTACCCATGTACCAACTCGTCTTCGTCAGGACCGTGCATGCGTTGATCGGACCGCCTGTCCGCGGCTGTGGCTCTATCTCGATGACACGCGCGTCGCCCCCTTCACTCTCGTGCGTTGCCAACTGTTTCACTGCACTTGTTGCATTCGCATGTACACGTGCACACACGCACGTTTCTCTCTTCATGCTTCCTCATCATCCCACCACCACCACCACAACAACAACAACAACAACTATCAACCATCCCTAACCCCCATCGTAACCCATCGCCCATCATCATCATCACCAGGATGGGTCGCTGTCCGAGCGGCCACGGTATCGGGGAGCCATCCCACGTGACAGCGACACGACATACTACCTTCGCTTCTCAAACCTGCGTGACATTTGGTTCATGTCCACGTTTCCCAACAGCGAATTCACGGCAGCCAACGCCTCCTCCTTCGCTACGCTCTCCTTCTTCCCAGAGGACTTTGCCCGCCCCACCGCGGTGTGTGCGTGTTGTGTTGCGTTGTATGTGTGTGTGCTTGTGTGTGCTTGTGGTTATGCGTGTGTGCGTGTGTGTTGTGTTGTATGTGTGTTGTATGTGTGTGCCTGTGTGTGCCTGTGTTGTGTTTTGCCATCACTGAAACAGTATTCTGCGGAGGGCAAGGACGAAAGCAGACCGTGGTGTCATCACAGCCCATTGTTGTGCATTTCCCAATTTTTGGTCTTGCTCACACGCTTTGTGCCGTTTCACCCCTCCTCCTCTCCTCCTCTCCTCCTCTCTTCCCCTCCCCCCCCCCCCAAAAAAAAAAAAAAAAAAAACTCCCTTGCGTGTCGTGCACAGGTGTTTGACTTTGGCCTGCAGACGGCTGTTGGCTTCTCTCCAAGCTCCATTGCCTTTGTCTGCGACGTGTGCCAGCCCGACACGTGCGGGCCAACAGAGGTATCGTGCGCACGCGAACGTGTGTTCTTTGCTCTGCGTATGCGGTCCCTCCACACCCTCTGCTCACCCCATTGACTTCCTGTCAGTGGACACGGAGCATGCGTGTGCTCCCTGTAACTCTCGGCGTTCATCACGACCATTCCTACCTTCTCATCACCTGCCCTTGGCTGGTAACACCTCCTTTCCCTCTCCCTCCTCCCTTTTTCCTTCTTGCTTCTGGCCATGCAACAGGCGTGTGAGACAGCGCTGAACGGAACGGCCGTGTGCGTGTGTGCGCCAGGCGATATTCGCTTTGACGTGGACGGGGAGTCCGTGTGCAACGTGCCCTCGCTCGCCAACGCCATCGACACCCTCATCGTCTCTCTTCGAGGAGACAGTGAGTACCACGCAGTGGCGATGGTTGATCGTGTGTGTGTGTGTGTGTGGGGGGGGGGGTGGGTGTGTGTGGGTGGGTGTATGTGGATGTGGATGTGGATGCGTGTGTGTGTGTATGTGACTACTTGTGCGAGTGTGCTTGCCTTTTCCCCTCGCCTACATCCACACCATCACACTCACATCCATTCCCTCCCATCCCTGTGTTTCCTTAGGCACCCTGTTTGATCTTGTTGCGAGCGAGCACATCAACGGCCGCTTCTTCTATCGCGAGCGCTCCCCGAACGCCATCCAGCGGTAGGGGATGGGTGCTGTTTCGCATTGTGTGGTGTTTTGTGTGGTGTGTGTGTGTGTGTGTGTGTGTGCGTGTGTGCGTGTGTGCGCGCGCGCGCGTGTGTGTGTGTGTGGTGTATGTGTGTATGTTCATTTCTGTGCTTGCGCGTAACACTGCCCCCCTCCCATTGATTGACAACATTCATCTGCTTCGTGGACGCCTGCTCACGCCCAACTCCTCTCCACTCGCCATTTTGCTCCAATCTTCTTCAAGCCGTGCCACGCGTCTCATCTTCTGGCTGCCGTCTGCAAATGGCGGCGCCGGTGCCTGGGCATTTGGAACACCGTACGTCACACACACACACACACACACACACACACACACACACACACACACACACACACACACACACACATGCACACGAGATGGTGGCGTGTTTCGTGTGCACACAGCTGTCGGGTTGGCCGCGCCGTATGTCGGCTTGTTTTCTTCATTCATTCATTGCTGCGTGCGTTTTGCTGACGACGTTCCAACGTGCCCATTTCTCACTCAACCTCGCACGCATGCACACACATGCACACACATACAACACACTCACACATGCACACACATACAACACACTCACACATGCACACACACACACATACAACACACTCACACACACACAATGGTGTGTTAGGGGCAACCCTGTTGCCGTGGCCACGACGCAAGGCCTCCCGCACACGCTGTCCTGGGACACGGACATCACCGTCAACGCCGCATGCGACGTGGTTGACGTGGTGGTGTCAGCCATCTCAGCAACAGCCGTCACCCTGCAGCCAACCACCGGTGAGTTGCAATCTTAATTTTTTTTTGGGGGGGGGGTGTGGAACGTGGAGAGTCCCAGTGCACTGTTGGCACGTGGTACAAGTGTCGTGAATTCACGCTTGGTACCACATACTTCTCACGAAACTATTCTCACATTCACATTTACACCCACACCCAACGAATGCCCACAATCACACACGTGCACACTCTCACACATACGCTCACGCTCACGCTCACGCATTCACACACCTACACACGTGCAGCGTTTGCTGAGACGACGACGGTGTATGTGTCGCCATCGCGCTTCCTGCTGCATGAGGACCTGATGATTGTGGAAGTGCCGCCATCAACGCCGTCTGTCACCGTCACCAACCTCTCGCCCGAGCAGCACTACTTTGCCGTCGCATTCACAAACCAATGTGCGATCGTGGTGGACCAAGGGGGAGAGTGACAGGAGAGGAAGTGTGGTGGACAGAAGCTGCGTGTGCAAACACGTGGTTGTGCACATGTGTTTACCACGTGCATGATGTGTCATCCAGACAAAATGTTGTGCGTGTCATCCCCTCCAATCCCAAACCCCCCGATCCCGCCTTTCTCGCACACTCCGTGCCACTCACGCCTCCATGCCATGTTGTGATGCTGCGATGTCACCAGCTGCGTGTGTGTTGAGTGGCGACGAGCCCTTGCTTGAGATCGACACGCTCGCGTCTGTGCCCACCGCTGCCCCTCAAATCACCACTGTCGATGTTCTTGCACCAGACATCCTTCGCATCAGGTGTGTTGTGGTGTGGGAGATGGTGCACGTGTGTGTGTGTGGGGGGGGGGGGAGGTATGTGGGTGCGAATTGTGGATGTGTGTGTACGCTAGCAACCTCAAAGCTGCAATCGTTGTGCTGCCATCTCATGAGCCGTGTTTACCGTCGACTCACGCATCCATCCATCCAACCATTCCTTCATATCCATTTCCCCCTTCCATGCATGTCCCACCGAACAGCTTCACGGTTCCTGCGAGCGCGAGTGATGGTGGCGCCATCGTTCACTTTATCGCCCAGCTCATGGACCAAGACGGTGAGACAGCCCCCTCAGCATGCTGGTGGTGGTGGTGGTGGTGGTGGTGGTGGTGGTGGTGGTGGTGGTGGTACACGTCGCACGCGCGTGGTGAACCGCAAACTACCAGTTTCCGTTCAATTTGCATTCCACTCACAGGATTCTTCTTTCCTGCGACAGGCGACATGTTTCAGATCACCGTGCCTGCAGGCACGAGAACGTTCCTGGTTGATGAACTTGAGCCGTTTACGCAATACCGCGTCCGCATTGCTGTCGTCAACGCAGCAGGGCAGGGCCCGTTCTCTCCGCCCACCACACGGCGCACCGATGAAGATGGTACGGGCAGATTGTGGAGAAGGAGAGCGCGCGCGCGTGTGTTTGTATGTGTGCTTGTGTGTTTGTCTGTGTGCGTGCGTGTGTGTGTATGTGTGCGTGTGTGTGTGTGTGTGCGTGTGTGTGTGTGTGTGTCTGTCTGTCTCTGTGCCTGCGCATGGCGCCGTGTAACTGAAAGGACCAAGCGTCCCCACTCATACATGTCTCCTTTTCCTTCTTCTCCCTCCCCTCCCTTCCCTTGCCCATCCATTAACCACCGCCGCCAGTCCCCTCGAGTGGGGGCACGATTGTGTCCCTGAGCCGCGACACAGATGGCCTCACAGCGGTTGTCCGACGCCCGAACGAAACCGATCACAACGGCATCATCACCCAGCTCAGGGTCGTCTGCTCACACCAGGTGCGGCGTGGTGGTGGTGCCGGCTGCATGGTGTACAGTCGATGTGGCGAGTTGCTGATGTGCGAGTGTGAGTGTCTTGCTGATGAAAGAGTAGAGCATGCACGTGTGGTTCGCTGCTGTTTGTCATTACTGCTATGAATTGAGCTCACACGATGGCGTGCGTTGCCTGTTCCCTGCCATCGTCAATACCACCACCACAATCACAACAACAACCCCTGCCATGGACGAGAGCAGGGCGTGCAGTACATGAGCAACCTCACGCTGACAGCAGCCGACATTGCAGATATGAGCCGCGACTTCACGATCGTGCTCGCTGTTCCGGACGACACCGCCGTCATGTGCGAGGCGCAGGCGAGGTGCGGGTGGCGACCACATGCCGTGACAGCGCACGGCATGACACGGCCCGGGGAGAAGGGGGAGGGAGGGGTTGTTAGTGGTCGACTTGAAATGGTGCTGTGGCGGGTGTGGCGATGCATTTTAACACCTGTTGTTTGGCCGCCTCAAACAAATACACACATGCAACACACACAAACACACACATACATACAACACACACAAACACACACATACATACAACACACACAAACACATGTTCAGCACGTCTGCTGGGTGGAGCGACGGTGGCCCGTCCGTGTCGTCGCCGGCGCAGCCGTCATCGAGCGGCAGCGGAACCAACGCGGGAGCAGGTGCTGGCCTGGACCATGCAAGCGGTGGTGGTGGTGGTGGCGGTGGTGGCGGTGGTGGTGGTGGTGGTGGTAGTGCTCTCAATGGTTGCGTGGATGATGCGCTGCCTTTGGCACGATTGCTGTTGCTTTTTGACAACACTTGCTTGCCCCGTTTCTCACCGTACAACACACACTCATTTCACACACGCTCATGCATCTAACACCACCACCAGTTGCTGCGGGTGTGCTGGTGCCGCTGCTGCTGCTGATTGCCATCGCTGCGTTTCTCGTCCTCCGGCGCCGCCCGTCGTTCACAAAACCGTACTCGGACCCGCCGACAGTGAACATGGTCTGCACCAACCGCGTCTTCGATATGGGTGCGTGGCAGCCGGACGGCGTGCAGTATTGAAGAAGGGGAGGTGGCGAAAGGTGAACGAGCGAGTGGATGGTTTGAGTGGAGGGATGGAAGGCTAGACAGGCGTGCATGTGCCAGCATTGTACTCGAAGCGTTTGCTTGCACACATCGTAGGGCGCACGCGCGCGCCCGTGTTCCTTCACACAGTCAACGCAGCAACCCTCACGCTCCTCATCTTCACCATGTACCAACCTCACTCCCGTCTGCGCACACGCAACGCAACGCCAGAGCGCTTCAAGGAGATTTTGATTGACCCGAACGAGCTGGTACTGCAGGAGAAGTTGGGCGAGGGCCAGTTTGGAACCGTGCATGCAGGCACGCTCTCCCGCGTTCCAAACCAGCCTGTCCTCGACAAACCCATCCCCGTTGCCGTGAAGTACTTGAAGACGACCGCTGATGTTGAGGACCGCCGCGTGTTCCTGGACGAGGCGTGGCGCATGCGGCATCTCGTGCACGACCACGTTGTGCGCTTGCTCGGCGTCTGTCTTGCCAATGAGCCATCGTTCATCCTCATCGAATTCATGGACGGTGCGTGGTGTGTGTGTGTGTGCTTGTGAGTACATGTGTGTGTACGTGCCTGCTTGTGAGTACATGTGTGCTTGTGAGTACATGTGTGTGTACGTGTGTGCTTGAGTACATGTGTACTTGAGGACATGTGTGTGCATGTGACCTTGCGTGCGAGTAACGCAACCCCACACCGTTTTCCCCATCCCCTCTCTGTCTCGTCACCTCATTCCATTTCTGTGTTGCGTGCAGGCGGTGACTTGGAGAATTTCCTGCGGATGGCGCGTCCGGACCGCGGTGGTGATGGTCTCCCGCCATCCTTGCAGGCAAACTTCATGCACCAGGTGATGCCGCTGCCGCAGCCACCAGCAGCCCCGTCACAGACAGTGCTATTCGCGAGTGATGTGTGTGTGTGTGTGTGTGCGTGTGTGTGTGTGTGCGTGTGTGTGCGTGTGTGTGTGTGTGTATGTGTGTGTGTGTGTTTCTTCCTTTGTCCGTCGCTCTCTTTCTCTGTGGAGTGATCACTCACGTACGGTGTGTTCCCGCACGTTGTTGTTTCGCCCCTCCCTTGTTGTTGTGTTTTCGGTCCAGGTCTGCTCTGGCCTCGCCTATCTCGGAAGCGTCGACTTTGTGCATCGTGATCTTGCGTCGCGCAACATCCTCATGACGTAAGACGCACGATTCACATCTTGTGCCATGTGCCGTGGATGGGTTGATGGTTGCTGCTGTGTCTGCTCCTTCAGCCTCCCCCCCCCCCCAACACACATCTCGGTCATGTCACTTGTTCTCATCCCGTATGCCCACACACACACACACACACACACACACACACACACACGCGCGCGCGCGCGCGTACACACACACACACACACACGCGCGCGCGCGTACACACACACACACACACACACACGTGCACTGGTGTCTTTTGACCAGGCGCGAGTATGTGCTGAAGATTGGCGATTTCGGGATGGCGCGAAACGTGCAGGGCAGCGCGGTGAGTGGCGGTGCATGCACACATGCATGCATACAATTCTATTCCACGTCTGGCAATGCCTTGTTCCATCTTGCCGAAGCGGGCACAAGTACCCCTTGTCCTGCCTCTGTTCGATTCACACACATACCCACACGCATGCGAGCACACTTTGACTTCTTCACTCTCTCATCGAAGCACACACTCACATATGCACACTGCTACCGCCGCCACCACCACCACTTTTACCGCTGCTCCGACGACGACAACCGCCAGTATTACACGAGCAGCAAGCGGAAGGAGATGCCGCTGCGGTGGATGGCGCCCGAGGCCGTACGCGAGAACAAATACACGCACTTGAGCGACGTGTACTCTTTTGGTGTCGTCATCTACGAAATCGCCACGTTCGGGGTATGTTTGCTTGGTTGTGTGTGTGTGTGTGTGTGTGTGTGTGTGTGTGTGCGTGTGTGTGTGTGTGTGTGTGTGTGTGTGTGTGTGTGTGTGTGTGTGTGTGTGTGTGTGTGTGTGTGTGCTCTCGTATCATTCATGAACTTGTGAGCTCACATCACGACGTCGCTGTCACCACCACCGATGTGCGCCAGGACTTCCCGTGGGCTGGCGTCCAAGATGATGATGTTGCGCGCCGACTGATCCGAGGCGAACACATGCCCCTCGATGCCGTGCCGTACGTTTTGCGTTTTGTTTGCTTTGTGTGTCTTGTGTGTGTGTGTGTGTCTTGTGTGTGTGTGTGTGTGTGTGTGTGTGTGTGTGTGTGTGTGTGTGTGTGTGTGTGTGTGTGTGTGTGTCTTTCTGTATGTGTACCTTGCCTGCTGATCCTTTTGCTCGCTTGCTTGCCTTTGTGTGAGTGTGACTTGCGCCGCTGTTTGTCTTGTTGTTTCCATTTGCCTGTCCTCCTCCTCCTCTTCTTCTTCTTCATCTCACCACCGGTGTGTTTCTTCTTCGCTGTGTTTCTTTGACAGTGGGACTTTCCACCACGTGATTCTTCAGTGCTGGCAGCCCGTACAGCAGCGGCCACGCGCAAGCGAGGTGCGTGTGTGTTTGTACATGTGTGTGTGTACATGTGGCTGTGCTGTTCATCATTCAACACGCATGTGTTTCTTCACCTCATTGATGCCCATTCGCCCACTGCCTTTATTTCGTCCAGGTGCTCCCGCTCATCACGGCGATGCAGACGCCGCAATCCAGCGGTTACGTCGTGCTGCCCGCACAAGACGCAAACTGTTAACGCCAACATCGCTTGTCGTCTTGCCCGCGCAAGTAGATGTGGTGGATGAGTGAACATAGACGTTGCATGTCCCTGCTTGATGTGTGCTTTTTCTTGCTTGCTTGGATTGCTTGCTGTGGTTTCTTGATAGTGCATGCTTCTTCTCTTCTTTCATCATATGCCTGCCCCCCCCCGTGTTCTTTTTGCCCTTTTGTTCTTCATTTCGCTTGAGTGGGGTGGTTTCATCTTTGAGTACGTTGACCGTCCCTTCCGTAAGTACATGACCTGATTCCCGCCCATTGATTTGCCAACCACAAGCAAGACATGTGAGATGTGTGACGACTGTTGAGCCAGTGTTGAGCCACAGCCGTCACAACCACAACCACAACACACCTTGCTCGTTGCCATTGTAGAAAGTTGGTGGATAATTTACATCAGTCATCGACCGCTGATGGCAAACCCGGCAAGCACCACCACCACATTGATTGAACGTTGTGGATTGGTGTGACATTGACCACAACCACTAGCAGCAGCAGTAGCAGCAGTAGCAGTCGCAAGGACGAAGGCTTTTTTTATCTCTGCCTTCCCCCCCCCCTCTTCTTCTGTGGAAGTGCATCTCTGTGTTTCTTCATTGCCCTTCTTTCTTGCCGTCCTTCTTTGTTTCTGTTCATTGTTGTTGCCATCATGGGCATGAAGCGCATGGTGGCGGTGCTGGTGGCGGCCGTGACGGCCGTGGCCATGGTGGGCGTGCTGGTGGCGACGCACTGGTCGCACGCCGTGCCGCCGTCGGTGGCTGCGCAGGGCGGCTACGCCGTGCACAACGGCCAGGTGCTGCCAGGTGTGCGGGGGAAGCGCGTGCAGGTGGTGGACGCCCAGGGCGTCGTGGACGTGATGAACCAGCTCGTTGGAGAGATGAACCAGCGCATCGAGGTGCTTCAGAGCGAGATCGACACCCTGGCCCAGCGGCAGGAAGTGCTCATCCAGGCCAACGCCGATGTGTCCGAGGTCAGTGCAGCCCCTGGTGGTCACGCTGGAAATCAGCAGCAACAGCAACAACAACCGCATGCACAACACATGGAACCACATCACCAACAACAGCAGCACGAGCAGCAACGGCGAGATGCTGGTCAACAACAAGCGCCACAAGCGCCGCCACAGCAACATCAGAAGTCGCTCAACATGGATGTGAGCGCGCTGCGGCAGCGTGCGGCAGCAATGAACCGTGCGCAGACGATCCAGAACCCAGCGATATGCAAGCAGCACTTGCTGAACAACAACGACGATCTCGTTGTGTTTGTTGTCATGGCCCACAACCGTCTCAACTACTTTGAGGCCCTGCTGCAGTCCATGCGGGCTGTGCGCTACATCGAGGACGCCGTGCTTGTGGTGAGCCAGGACATGTTCAGCTCGGAGCAGGACGCACTGCTGGACAGCATCGACTTTATGTGCGTGATCCGCGTCTTCTACCCGGGCTCCTTACAGCTGAACCCGGACCAGTTTCCCGGCACAGATCCAAACGACTGCCCACGTGACATTTCCAAGGAGGAGGCGCTGCGGATTGGCTGCAACAACGCCCGCAACCCAGACCAGTATCACCACTACAGGTGTGGGATTTGTGCTGCTGTGTTGTGTTGTGTTGCGTGCGTGTGTGTAAACGAGTGGATGCAAGAGTGTAGTCTCGCTGCTTGCCCTGCACGCATGCACCCGCTGATTTCATCAATGCAATTGCGGCCGCTTGCCTCTCCTGAATTGTGTGTGTGTGTGTGTGTGTGTGTGTGTGTGTGTGTGTGTGTGTGTGTGTGTGTGTGTGTGTGTGTGTGCAGGGAGGCGCAGTTTACGGTGATCAAGCACCACTGGTGGTGGAAGCTCAACTTTGTCTTCGACCACGTACGTGCGATCACGCAATGCTGTGATAATGTAGCAGTGGTGATGTGGCGGTTTGGTGATGATGGTGAACGGCGTGTCGACGCTGACCGAACAGTTGAAGTGCTCTCCTGCGTCCTACGTGCTCCTTTTTCACGGCATTGTTTACACACACACACACGCGCACACTCACTCACACACACACGCACACTCACTCACTCACTCACTCACTAACACCTCCAACAGATGCCTGTGCTGAAGAATCACAACGGATTGAAAGTCCTTCTTGAAGAGGACCACTATCTTGCACCAGACACAATTCACATGCTGTTGAAGACGTGGCGCGTTGCTCAAGAACAGAAGCACACCTCAGACATCATCGTCCTAGGTATTCGGGGAGAGAGTTGTGCGTGCGTGTGTGTGTGTGTGTGTGTGTGTGTGTGTGTGTGTGTGTGTGTGTGTGTGTGTGTGTGTGTGTGTGTGTGTGTGATCGCACATGTATGTACATGTGTATCAATCAAGTTCTCTCTCAATCTCAATATCTTGTCCCTGTGTCTCTTCGACATCGTGCTGTGCCTACTTTGTGCTTTTCTCTTCCTTCTGTTCCCTCTTCTCTACCTTGCCCTCCCCACCCCGCCTGTTTTCCTCTTATCATGTCCACAGGCGACTATGACGCTGGTCACGGTGCGTTTGCCGGTAACGTCGTGCACCGCCAGCCGTGGGTGTCCACGAAACACAACATGGGCATGGCACTCTCACGCCAGCTCTTTGACAAGATCAAGCAATGTGCACGCATGTTCTGCGAGTTTGACGACTACAACTGGTGTGTGTGTGTGTGTGTGTGTGTGTGTGTGTGTGTGTGTGTGTGTGTGTGTGTAGAGATTGCATCCGCTTTGCTTGATGTCCGCGCCTCGCTACACTCTTCGTTGTCACTCATCTTCTCCTTCAACTTCATGCCTGCTGTCGACTTCACTCACGTCGCAGGGATTGGTCACTCTTCGTAAGTGGGCGTCGGCTCTGAATCTCCAAGACATTTAACCGCATTTTTCTTTTCAGTGCATTCGCTCTCACGAAATTACACGTGGCTTGCACGCATGTACTTGCTAATTGCGAGCACACACACACACACACACACACACACACACACACACACACACACACACACATACACACACACACACAGGCGGTGTCTGCTCGCGGCTGCATCGATCAGATGGCCATCCATGCGCTTGGTGAGGACATACATGTGCCCCGTGTACACACACACGCACGCGCACACATACATAAACACACGCACACTTGCCTCTCGTGCTGTCTTTAATCGTGTGCACACACTCCTTTGCTTATTTGCGCAACACACACACGTGGCTGTGCAGTGATGGCTGGTCAGCGGATTCAGCACCTGGGCGTGTGCGGCGTCCACAGTGCCGGCAAGGACTGCTCTGGCACAGATGCCATTGAACGTCAGTGATGCTGATGATGATGATGATGACGATGATGATGATGATGATGATGACAATGTCGCTGTTGGTTGCAGTGGTGTCAGTGATCGCATGAGTGCAGTGCCATGCCAACAGTTGCAGGAGTCCACCCCACACCCAAACGTGCTTGTATTGTAGTTCAGCCTCGCCCCTCCACTTCTTGTCACCACTCACGCGCACATGCACTTCTTCTCTGACTCCCCTTACTTCACAATCCCGCCCTTTCATGTCCTCCCTTTACTCTCAGGTGCAAAGCGGTTCAACGCGGCAAATGCTGCGCAAATGTTCCCACAATCATTGCAGGTCGTGACAAAGACAGGACAGGCGCCGTTTGTGCGTGCAGGTTATGGGGGCTGGGGTGACCCGAGAGATGTGAACCTGTGCTTGTCGTTTGCGGGCATTGATACGGGTGACAGCAACACCAACCTCTTCTAGACAGGAAACTGCCCGCCACAGACAGGCACCAACTATGTGACATGACCCCATCGTAACCACAATACGAACATGGGATCATGCATGCGTGTGTGCGTGTGCTGTGCGTGTTTGTGTGTGCTATGTGTGGTTGTGTTTACGTGTGCTGTGTGTTTGTGTGTGCTGTGCGCGCACGTGTGTGGGTCGCAAGCTGTGTTCTGTTGGGGCGTGTGTGTTTCTGACCTGTGATACCTGTCATGAGCGTGTTTGTTCCAGTACTGTTGTCAGTTCCTTCGAGCTTTGTTTGTTTGTTTATATGCAACCTCTTGGGTTCACGAAAAGAAGACCGTAGCATACAACCGAGCAAGATCAACAGAGTGAAAACGCCAAGCCCCGTCAGTGAGCACCACCAACACCACCACCATAACACGAACTTGTGCATGCAGGCAATGCTGTTCATAATTAACTACGTTGGGCACGCGTCGTGGCGTGAGAGATGAAGCGGAAACTTGACCACACCGCCACCACCGCCAGCGCCACGATCGCCGGGCGTCAGTTCCACCATCAGCCGCACGCGCCCTTTTTTTGCAGCACTGAGCGAGCACTCATCGCAACGCACGCGGAACGACGACCACATGCGTTCGTGCCCAGCCAGCAGCGTGCTGAACAAATGCATCGTGTGCGTTGGCTGCTGCGCACTGTCTGCAATGGCATGCGTGACGATAAGGGTGTTGTTGTCACTGGCATGCCGGTGCAACGTGCACGAGCTGCTGCTGCTGCTGCTGCTGCTGCCAGCACCATCAAAGCTGCCCTTGCCTGCTGGCTCTGTCCGCACTCCAATGTCTGCATCCACCGCAATCGCAGGGGCCACCATGAGTTTGTGCCCGGCCATCGTTGATGCCGTGGGTGGCACCGCCGCTTGCGGTGTTGGCGTTGGGTCCCAGGGGAATGTGCTGCGAAACTGCTGCTCCACTGTGCCTGAGACGGGCGCCGAGCCGGTGCTTGCAAGCATCGCCATGTCGATGAGAATCAGCGTGTCGGGAAATGGCAGAAACGCCACGCGCACGCTGCACTGCAGGTTTGGATGGCGACCCATGTGCGTTGGCGTTGTTACAGCAACAACCAGCGCCTGAGACGCAAACGCAGACGAATACAACAGCCGCGGGTGTGCTGGTGGTATTGGCACGGTTGCATCTGTCTCATCTGCTCCTGCACCTGCAGCTCCTTCTGCTTCTTCCATCAACATTGCCCGCACACCGCGCCAGTCGCCCGCCGCCGGCCCCAAATGCTCGTACAAATCCGTGTCCAGAACTGGCACCAAGTCATCATTGCCCGCGCACATGTGAAACGCTGCTGCTTCATCCTCGTCTCGCTCCACATCCACAGGCTGTTCAACCGGCTCCTGCGGCAGTGGTGGTGATGGAGACCGCACAAGCATGACATTGCCCGTGACACCCCGTGGTGCAATGATGAACGGCGCTCCTCCGGGCGAAAACACAAACGACCCTGAAACATGGGAGCGTGGTTGCGCGTTGATGGCGGGTTGTGTGTTGGTGGAGGTAAGTGGGACAGGGGGGCAACAAACAGAACGGTGAAAGCTAGAACACTTATTCTCCACAGGGTGCGGTGATAAGGGCATACGGTGGTCTCAGCACTCATGTGCCTTTGTCGTCTCGGCTCACCTTCTTGGTGTGCGGTGGAGTGGATGAGAGAGACGAGGTCAGGGATCATGTGTGCGTATGCGCTGTTGGCGATCGTGCGAGCGATAGCAGCAACGTCGCCAGAGGGAAACCCAGCTGTGTTGAAGATGAAGGGACAGGAGTAAGAGGGTGAGTGTAGATTGAACTTGGGGGAGTGGCTGGTGTTGTTATTGGTGGTATGTTGCGTTGTGTTGCGTTGTGGTGCAATGTGTTGTGGTGTGGTGTGGTGCGCTGTGGTGTGTTGTGTTGTGTTGTAGTGTGTGAATCCAAATATCAACAAAGCGCAATAAGCGTAGCGGCCGCTCACATCGCATGGCAAACAGGGAGGGTGCGGTGTTGTCTTGTGCTTGCAGGCTCAACACGGTCAGGCCTTGGTGGTGAAAGCGACGAACCCTGCCAATGCATGTGTATGTACGTATTTGTGTGGGGATCGGTGCAGATTGGTGCAGTCACACAGTCACGCAGTCACACAGTCACGCGGTCACACAGTCACGCAGTCACGCAGTCACGCAGTCACACAGTCACGCAGTCACAAGCTGGCACGCCCAGGCACTTCTGCACTTGCTTGCGTGCAGGCACGCAAGTTCATCATACCAGGCGTTGCGAGTGACGGAAAAGGGGGTGATGGACGGCTGCTGTGGGTCAAAGGAGGCGAGCTCCATCAACAGCGAGAACATGCACACGTTATCGGCGCTGCCTTTGCCCTCGTGACGTGATTCAAACTGCATGCTGGCGTCCCCTTCACCATGAGAGCTGTCAAGCCCAAGCTCAGCCTCTGATACGCGGTCTGCAGTGTGCACGTGCATGAGAGAGTGTGTATGTGTGTGTGAGTGTGTGTGTGTGTGTGTGTGTGTGTGTGTGTGTGTGTGTGTGTGTGTGTGTGCGTGTGTGTGCGTGCGTGCATATCGGTGTGAGTGAGTGGGAGAGTCGAGATGTGTGCGCAAGGAAAGAAACACACAGCTCGCAGCTCAACGTGCAAGGCAACCTGCAACATGCCATCTGTGCATCTGCCGCACACAAGCAGTCCCATCCCCTTCCCTTGCATCATCTCTCCCACCCTCAATACACAAACACACAACACCATACCTGCAAGCCAGGTTGCCTCGCCGTTGCGAAGGAGGTGCGTGTCAATGAAGCGGAGGTGGGCCGCGGGGCTGCAGGCCAAGTGCGTCACACACGTTTGGCCAAGGGGCAGGGAGGGCGGTGCCTCGCTGTTGCTGTCCCGAGAGCGTGCAGTGTTCCTTCTCAAGTGGGGCCAGACGGTGGCCTCAATGTACTGCAAATGTGCTTTGACCCACGCCATGGGGAGCGTGGCCAGCTTTGGCGCAAGCACGCTGCGCTGGGCCATAAGCATGGCCTCGAAGAAGCACTGGGAGAGCAGGAGGGTGCGACCGAGCCCGCCATCCAGGCTCCCATCGCGCATGTGGTCGTTGAGCAGCAGCAGGCCCGTGCGGAGGTGGGACCACGCGTCTCGCACCCACGTCTCGGCAGCTGCAAGCGCATCCATAGAGAGCAGGGAAGCTGATACGCGGGCAGACACCGCGGCGTGGTTGTGGCGCACATGGGTGAGGAAGAGGGAGCCGGCAAAGATGGCCTCGTTTGTCGCCACCCAGGCCGGATCCAGAGACAGCGACACGGACTGCAGGCACTGGCGCGCTCGCAGCAGGCTGGCAACGTCTCGCAGCACATGCTCAGCGATGAAGGCCTGCTCGTGGGGGGCGCACGCTTCGAAGATGAGGTCCGCTGTGAGCACGACGTTCAGCACTGCACGGGCTGCGCGAACTGCAGCAAGTACGTGATGACACGGCTCCTCGCACGTTTCCTCGGAGGTGCACAGGCACGCACCATCGTTACTAGCGCGATCGCCCCACTGCCGCTGGCGCAAGCCCAGCTCCACGATGGCGGCGAACCGCCCGCCTGTTACCGCAGCATGCGCGGAGCAATGCGGGTCCTGCTGTGCACCGTCACCGCCACCAAACAGCACGCCATCTTCCCCAGCGCCACCACCACCGGCGACACCACCGCCATGGTCGTGGTGGCCTTGTTGTTCCGTTGTCCAGTGGGCGTCAAGCACCTGGATCAACGCAGAGATGGCGTCCGTGTCGGTGGTGGGCCGCCGGATGCGTGCTGTCAGCGCTTGCAGCGGCCACATGTCTGTGGGCTCCACAACCTGCGGTGGTGCGCTTGGTGCAAGCCAATGGTGCAGGTTGAGGCTGCGGTGCTGCTGCCAGTTGTGCGTGCGTGCAAGCAACGCCGCCAGCTTGCGTGCAGGCAAGGACGACGATGACCCTGACGCGCCGCTGCTGACACCATCCTGCCTCAGCTCCCCCAGCGTCTGCTCATCAAACAACAACAGTGGCAGCCGCTCTGCGGCGCACAGCCGAACCAAGAGGAAGAGCAGGAGGAAGACAAGGAAGGGAAGAGGGTACGTGGTCATCATCATCGTTGGTTGGTCGTGTGTGTGTGTGGTTTGTATGCTCTTCTTCTTCTTCTTGCTGTCCTTTCTTTCCCCACCACTCATTGTTGTGCCTTCTTCTTCTTCGTGCCCATTCACACACCAACAACAACAACAACAACAACAACAGCAGTCAATACACAACAAGCACAAGACACACGCACTCTCTCCATGATGACAACACGAGAAGCGTGGCTCGGGTGTGTGCGGCGGTCCTGCGCCCGTCGGCGGCTGGTCGTGCTTGTGGCGGTGGTGTTGGGGGTGACGGCGACGGCGATGCCACGGAGCGAAGCGCAGGCAATGAACGTGCATGCCTGCACGCAACAGTTTGTGTTGTCAGTGTCCACGGGAAGGACAGGGAGCACGCTGCACATGCAGGCGCTGAGCGCATTCCAATCCACGTTTGCCATCCCGGAGCCATTCCGCTACTGGCGACAGCACCCAGAGGCAACGGACTCGCCATCCTACATGGATCTCTTCAGCTGCAACTTCCTCAAGCACGACGGGCTCACACGGCGGGTGCGTTGGGGGAGGGGAGGGGGGTTGGAGGGGTGAGGTGAAGTGTCTGTGTGTCTGTATGTGTTTGGGGGGTGAAAGGGGTTGCTTGCTTGTGCCTCTGTGGCCGTCTGTGTGTGTGTGTGTGTGTGTGTCTGTTTGTGTTTGTGTGTATGCGTGTGTGTGTGTGTGTCCCTCTGTCTGTGCGTCTATTTGTGTGTCTGTCCATCTGCCCGTGTCTGTGTGTCCCTGTGTGTTTGTTGCTGCTCACATCATGAGAGAACCTGTGACTGCGTCTGTGATGAGCTTGCCATGCCACTCACAAGTGCCCTTGTATGCTGATGTTGCGTTGCCATCTGCGTTGAAAGGTGTTCTGGGTGTATGCGTGCTCGAATAACCGTGTCATCGCCCACGACAAGGAGCTGCTCAAGCGCTGCAAGCGAAGCGAGTTGACGGCGGCTGACCGCGCACTCCTCTTTGATGTGTGCGCCCGCGCGTGTGTCAAGATTGTCAAGACCATCCGCTTCACATCCTTCCCACTCACAGACGACGATGCACAGCAGCTGCAGCTCCTCGGCCACCTCCACATGGTCCACCTCGTCAGGCAGTACGTTTCTGTTGGGGAGGATGGAAAGAAGGGATTGCTGAAGGGAACCGGAAGAGGAGGGAACCCTTGTGTGCGTGTCTCTGTGTGTGTGTGTGCGTGTCTCTCTGTGTGTGTGTGTGTGTGTGTGTGTGTGTGTGTGTGTGTGTGTGTGTGTGTGTGTGTGTGTGTGTGTGTGTGTCTGGGTCTGTGTGTGCGTGGGTATGTGTGTGTTGTGTGTGTGTGTGTGTGTGTCTGGGTCTGGGTCTGTCTGTCTGCCCATCTGTCTGTCTGTCTGTTTGTGTCTGCGTACTTCTCTGTCTGTCTCTCCGTCTGTCCGCCTGCCCTATGTGAACGTGTCTGTGTCTGTGAAACAGCTCGTTGTCGCCTTAATGCCCCCTGAAATTCATACACATGCACACACATACACACACACACACATGCACACACATGCACACACATACACACACATGCACACATGCACACAATTCCCTCCCCCTCCCCCCCCCCAAATCACACACATACACCCGACCCACCACCGGTTCTCGCTAGGCCGTGGAACGCTGTGGTGTCCAAGCACAAGAGCGGGTGGAGGTACGATCCAACGGAGGAAGGCATCGGTGGCGCATTGAGATCAGAGTGCAAGAACATGCTGCAGACAACGGAGATTGCACACGGCATTGCCGCCCCACCCATGCTCACGCTGTGGCACGAGGACCTGGTCAGCAACATGACTGCGTCACTCACCTTCATCTTGGGCCAGCTGCGCTGGAACAAGAACGTCATCGATCACACCGCGCCCGCGCTAGCCAACCACCTCAGCAAGCACGAGTTTGCCGCCTTGCACCGCAAGCACCTCAAGCCACTCAACGTCACTCAGGAGCAGGCGCTCACGTGGATCAAGAACAGGCAGGCCACCCTCAACCAAGCCGACCCTTGCGTTGCTGCGTACAAGGCATTCAACTACGCATATCCGGAGGAGAGGGTGGGCTGACGCTGACATGTATTGCGTGAACGACCATGTAATTGACAAAACAAGAGTAAACGACACACAGCTACAACAGCAGTAACGGAAAGGAACAAACAATGGCATTGCGGTGGTGGTGGGTGGGGGGGGGGGGGGTGGGGTGGGAGAGGGGAGTGCTTGAGACAAGTAACCGGTGAAGTGAAGGGGACGCTGAAGACGGGGGGAGGGGGATTGGAACAGAACACCAGAAGGAAAAACGTCGTTTCGTGCAATTGTATGCACGTCATGAACAAGTGAGCCCACATGCATGCAGGCAAGTGCGCATGTGTCAGCTTTGAGTACGACTGGCCATTGCACGGGCTCCAAGGAACAAGTCTTCGCGGAGCAAGCTGTTGAGCTCGTCCATGACGCCCTCCTTCCCACCGCTTCCATCATCACGCGGGGTCATTCGAGATACGCGTATTTGTCCTGCACCAAGGGCGTGCTCGATTTGCTCCAACGGATAGGCAGCGGGGCTTGGGCGGTACGACGCAAGGTGGGCGTGGCTCAGGACAAGCTGGTCGTACGCAATGCCTTTGGCTTCTTCTTCGGCTTCAAACAGCACCTGTTGGCACAGGGATAGGGAGGTAAACACGAGGGGAATGGGAGAGTGAATGAAACAGCTGCCAACTGCGCGGGGAGATTGGAATCGCACAACCTTCGCCAAGGCAAGGCGCAGCATGACACCCAATAACCCCACGTTCACTTACACGTATTCAAGTATGTAACTCACTCACACACACACACACTCACTCACTCACTCACTCACTCACTCACTCACTCACACACTCACTCACTCGCTCACTCACTCACTCACTCACTCACTCACTCACTCACTCACTCACTCACTCACTCACTCACTCACACACAAACACACACACTCACTCACTCACTCACTCACTCACTCACTCACTCACTCACACACACACGCACACACACGCACACACACACGCACACGCACACTCGCATGTACACATTGTTTACCATTGAGAGTGCCAGCCAGGCAAGTTCTGCTTCGCCTTGCATGCCACGAACCCAGAGGTCGATGCTGCTGTCGCCATCAATGCGACCAAAACACTCGATGGTGTCAAACAGTCGGCCATGGAAGCCTTTCCGCCACAAGCTGGTGCTCCCTGCATCAAACAGCGCTGCGACCCTTGTCTGCAGGCGAGGAAACAGGCCAGGTGGAAACAGCATCCCGCTCGATTCACGAATGAGGAAGCGGCGGCCACCAAACACGTGCGCCTGGCCGTCATCTGCCCATTCAACGCCTTCGGTCGCTCCCAGTCGAAATGGCAGCATGTAGCGGGGAGTCGCTGCTTCATCATTCCCAGGTGGTGGAAGCTCGTAGCAGAGCAGCATGTTGGACAGCACATCCACGACCTGCTCTGCCGGCACAAGATCGCCATACACCGCCCTGATCTCCTGCAGTGTCACTTCCCCATCACGCGGTCTCAGCTGTTTGATGTCGTGAAAGTCTTCAGGTGCGAGTGCGGGCCCAAGGATGGTACTGAGCAGCCAGAAGGGCGAGATGAAGACGTGGTCGCGAAGGGACGGCATTGACTGGAACCACAGCAGGTTGCCGCGCACGTGGAGGTGGCTGACAACAGCACGAGCCACCCCGCAAGAACAGAGCACGCACAACGAAGTCATGAGTGCACCAGAAAGCGAGGCACTTCGCAAAGCAATACACGCAGTGAAGCAATACACTTCATGCAGCGAGAGACTTGGCAGAGCAATACACACAGTGAAGCAATCCACACAGTGAATCGATCCACATTGTGAATCAATACACTTGGTGAAGCAAGACGCGTGCCCCCATCCGCTGGACAACCGCACCAGATCAAAACCCAACCCCCACATGCCAAGCAATTTGTACGGCGAGATACCTGAGCGAGCTTCTGATGATGGTTCTGTCGGCGTCGGGGATGAACTCCAAGTCAGGTGCGCTTTCAGCCAGATCCTGCATGAGGTTCTGGATAGTCCACAGTCCTTCCTTGGTTTGCTCGCAAGCTTCACCAATGGCACGTGCCACTATGGGAACCTGATTCTCGCGTGCTCGCACGTCCTCCCATATGTTGTGAAGTAAGTTTCCCAGCTGCCTCAACTCGTCGCTGCTGGTGTCGTGGCAGTTGAGGGCAACGACGTGCGGGTGTAGCTCCATGCTGCCGCCAAACCAGCTCGCCACTTCCTCGCTGGCAAGAAGGGCGTCGCCCTGCTCGAAGCGCAGGACATCGGCCGTGACACCAATATCAATGGCAAGTCGGTGCCCCGGATGCGGCTGGTCCGCCCTCGTGCCAACCACGATGACCTTGGGCGGCGGTGCATGGGAAGAGTGCGCGGCTGCTTGGTGCAGGCGAGTCTTGATGAACCTGAGCCAGCGGTAGAGGGACGAGCGGAACGTGTTGAAGTCCGTGCTCAGGGCAACGCACACGACGAAGACGGCGTTGTGGTCGGACAGCATCAGCTCGTGCGCGACGTGGTACTCCGCTGTTCCGGCAAAGTCGAACACGTGGAGATCGCAGTTGGCGGGGTGGTTGGCGTCTTCCCCACTGCCAAGCGTAGCGCCAGAGAACAAGGCCGCCGCCCCCCTCTGGCCAAAACCAACTTCGTCAAGCGCAGGTGCGGGCATGTTTGGGGCAGGAATGCGGACCCTGCGCAACTCGACGCCAACCGTTCTCTCATCTGGCCGGTCAGCCTCGTCTCGTGACGACTGCTGTGGATCATAGGGTGTTCCAATCACTTGCAGCGAGCGCACGAGCGTGGACTTGCCGGTCCCCTGATCGCCACACACAAAGACGCTCATTGTGGTGTGCGAGGTGAGTTCATGTTGAAGGAATGAAGGAAGGGCCTCATGGTGCCTTCTGTTTCGCGCCACAGCAGCGTTGATGCTGGTCAAGATGCTGTCAGAGATGCCCCAAAATCGGTTCAGCCTACACGGACAAAGGGGAGAACGATATCGCCGTCAAGTGTCATGCAATAAGTAATAAGCTTGTGTACTCAAGTCCGAGTCAAAGTCATGATGTAAAAACTCAGCGTTGCACAGTAGATAGACCTGTAAACGTTTACATCCAGACATCCGTGAATGAAACAAGTGCGAGGCGCCATATGTGTAATTTGTTCGCTTACTCGAGCGCACGAAGGGTCTTGTTTTGCTGCAACGACTGAGCAATGGCTGTCCCGGCGGTGTCGCTCAAGAAGTTGCAGTCCAGACTAGTGAAACAAGAACACAAGCAGGGCGCATTTGTTATGATGTGCCAGCCTCAAGCGCGAATGCTGGAGTGTCTTACTTGCATCTTCAGTATGCATCAACACACGCACACACGTGTTTGCAGATCATGCTGTCATTATTCACCTGAGCACGTCACAAGAACACGCGCAAGAACGGTTTCCTTACTCGAGCGTGTGCAGTGTGCGGTTCTCTTTCAATGCCCCGGCAAGTGCAAGTGCGCCATTTTCACCCAATAACGTGCTGCACAAGCTGTGTGTGTGTGTGAGTGTACGTGCGTGCGTGCGTGTGTGTGTGTGTGTGTGTGTGTGTGTGTGTGTTTGTGTGTGTGTGTGTGTGTGTGTGTGAGTGCGAGACAGACACACACACACACTTACACACACACACACACACGCACACACACACGCGCGCGCGCGCACAGACAGAGGGGGATGGACAGGTGGCGCCATTCGCTCAGGCTGCGTACACTGAACCAGCTTGCATGCAGTTCATTCCAAACCACCTCCCCCAACCCTTGCCAACCGCATGAGCACATCATTGTTCGTACTTGAGGGTGTGAAGCGTCTGGTTCTGCTTGAGTGCCAGGCAAATTAGATATGCTCCATCCAGTCCAACCCGCGTTTCACTCAAGCTGGAAAGCCAAGATCAAGCAAGCAAGCCAGTTGCACACAGGCAGGAACACCTAGTGAGCCAGGATCCCAAATGCTCTGGATCCGAGTCAAATGGCAACACAACGACTTTCGACTGTGTCACCGGTGAAACTCAGGCGACAAGTGCACTTACTTGAGCGTGTGAAGTGCCTGGTTCACCTTCAACACTTCGGCAATGTGGTGCCCGCCAGCCTCCCCAAGGTCGGCGCCGCTCAAACTGAATAAAAGCAAGCAGCAAGTGGCAGAGCCATGAGTGCAGGAGTGCCGTGGCAGATCAGCCAGGCAGAGGCATTTATGCACATGAGCACTTGCGGCACTTTCATCAGAGTAGAAGCCGTCAACGTTTCTTGCAACAGAGACCAATATCCCACATACACTCAAACATGCATTATTCATACAGACACATGTACGTCTACATAGATGAACATCCACGCACATGTGCATGCACGCTCACTCTCACTCACACACTCACACATAGACATGCACATATGCACACATGCACACACATGCACACACATGCACACACACATGCGCATGCACACATGCATGCACACATGCACACACACGTGCATACACACACGTGCATACTCATGTATGTATGCTCATGCTACTCACTCAAGTGCGTGAAGCGTGTTATTCTCCTGCAGTGCCTCGGCTAGTGCCAGTGCACCAGCCTCGCCCAACCGAGCTTTGCTCAGGCTGTAACCATGACAAAAAGGCGAAATCGTGTGTGAGAAAGATGTGCGTAGCGCTGTAGCGTGGCACGGACAGGCAGGCCACTGCTCACACACTAAATGGGCAGCGCAAACCAACCTCAGCTCGGGGCCACAGGCGTTGTTCCAGATGCTGAAGATTTTGGTGAACACGTCCGGTTCCACGTCAACATACTGCAAGCGTCCCAGAATGTAATCTGTACGGTCTGCATCAGGATGTGGAGCATCTGCCTCTTCCTGCATCTGGTTTCCCTGCTGCCCACTTTCTGCAGCAGCTTCCTCCTCCTCTTCCGCTTCTTCCTCTTGCTGTGCGTCGCTTGTGTCCATCGGGGCTCGTGCACCATTGTCATCCTGAACTGCATTCCCGCGCCACGTCTGCAGCTTGCATGCTCTCACAAACCGTGCAATCTGTGCCGGCGCCAGGGGCTCTCCGTTGACCCGTGCCTCCTTCAGCATGCTTTCAAGCACCTGGCCAACGTTTTCGCCGGGTTTATATTGATGGAGGGCACTTGGGTTTCTTTGGATCTTTCTGCGCAGCTTCGTGCACCTGAGGGCCGCCGTCGCCTGCTCCAGCCTGGGGATGCTTGTGATGTCCAGACGCTTGAGCACGTTGCCAATGGCGTCGCTCAGCTGGTGCGCAGCGAGCCACTGTTGCAGAGGCAGCTGCTCGGTTTCGCTGGGGGATTCTGACTGTCTCTCGGCATCTGCTGGGCAGGGCGAGGGCTCTTTGAGCCTGGCCGCGTGGAAATGTTGCAGGAGCTCGTCCATCAAGGCTGGCGGGACGCAGCCTACGCTGTCCGCAGGGTTGACAAACCACCAAAACTGCGGCTCCCAGCCCTTCAAGATCTCGCGCGCGTACTGGTGCCTAAAGTCGCACTGGCGCACGTTGATGAGGAAGAAGGGTTTTCTGTTGTGGACGATGTACTGCAGCTGGTCGTGGGTGTCCCAGGAAAACTCGGTGTTCCTGCCGTAGTCCGTTGTGCCCAGAATGATGGCGAGCTGACAGTTCCGCACGGCTTCGTGGGTTGCGGCTTGTTCTTCAGGTGTAGTTTGGCGCTCCATATCCTCCATGTACACGTGGACGTTGCTTGTCTGCAGCTGCTGGAATAGCACCATCGACTCATGCGCAGCCTCCTGCAGTCGACTCGAAATGAAGATGAGCCCGCTCATCTTCCCTCCTGCAGCGGACAACAAGGGGAGGGAGAGAAGGCTGGAAGAGAAGGGGCTGAGGTGGCGCTCAAACCAAAACGTGCAGCGGAAACAAGGAAACAAGGATACAACCTGACAGCACACACACTGGCTCACTGGGAGACGGGCTGAAAGAAGTGATTTTGATGTCGATGTGAGTGCGTGGAAAATGAACAGAACGAAGGCTACCGCCAGTGTGTCAACTCAATGTGGCCTCTGTGCTGTGAGGGACTGAGGGAAGCAGGGATTGAGGGAGGCAGTTGTGCGGTCAGGGGGTGACACAAAAACTCAAGCACATGAGTGACTGTGTGGAAATGGACGCACACGACACTGACAGGTTGTGACAGGGTGTGCGGACACAAACAAACACCCGTCACCCTTCAAATCATGGTGTCGCCGTTGGTTTTGGACGGCGGCTTGTCCTCGCTGTTGGAGTTGGAACGCGGACCACTGCACCCGACCTTGTGGTCAGCTGCACTGCTGGTTGCGAGCACTGGAGGACAAGGCAAAGAAGCGGGGGAACGAGCGGGGAAGGATGGCCACAACAACGACGACGACGACGACGACGACGACGACGACGACGGTACTAGCCATGTCTTTTCCGACACCAACCATCGCGCCGTCATCGACGCCCACCGCGTCAGTAAATATGTGTGTGTGTGTTTGTGTGTTTGTTTGTGTGTGTTTGTGTGTGAGGGTACAACCTTACAACTTTTGTACCTGTTTTGCTCCTCATGTCTTCATGTCTTTGTCGTGTTGTTGCACTGCTACTGCTGCACTGGCGTTGTGGTGTCTCCTTCCTACTTCTCAACTTCTGCCCCCTTGCCACCTCCTCTTTGCCACACTTCATACGTCATTTTAGGCCTTTCTGGAAGCGGGTGCTGACATCCTGACGACTGTGAGCTACCAGGGTACAGTAGCGGGCTTCAAGCGCGACATGGGCTTGTCGGAAGAAGAAGCAAGCCATGCCATCGCCCTCAGCGTCACCCTCGCGCGCACCGCCATCCATGAGCATCAACAAGCACAACAACAACAACAACAACAACAGCACATTGAGCGCGACAAACACTCTTCCTCTTCTTCACAAGCACCACGAACGCTATCGTCATCGTGGGCGTCGTCCCGCCATCTTCTCCTCCATCCACCACCTCACGGCACTCAGCAGCACCCACAGGAACAACAACACGAACAACAACACGAACAACAACAGGAGCAACAGCCGCGTCCGCTTGTGGCTGCGTCGATTGGGCCGTATGGGGCGTTCCTTGCGGACGGATCGGAGTACAGGGGTGGTTACGATGCTGAGCGCCTGGCACAGTTCCACCACGAAAAGGCGCTCATCCTGTGGCGTGCGCGTCCTGACGTACTCGCCTTCGAGACCATCCCACAGGCCAGCGAGGCCCTGGCCATCGTGGGCATGATGCAGGAGACGCTGCCGGAAGCGCCATACTGGCTCTCCTTCCAGTGCTGCGATGCGCACCGCCTGGCGAGCGGAGACGACGTGACAGCGGCCGTTGCATCCTTAGTCACCGCGTTTGATGAGCAGCGGGCTGGGTCGCTGATTGGCATCGGAGTGAACTGCATATCGCCGGCGATTGCGGCGCCGCTCGTCACCGCCATTGCCCGCTGTGTTGGGCGCCGTAGACTGCACGTGCTCTGCTACCCGAACAAGGGCGAGGCCTGGGACGCAGACACGCGCACCTGGGGGCCAATTCCCACTGCCGATGTTGGTGACGGCGATGGTGTTGGTGGTTTTGGCAATGGTGGTGATGGTGGTGATGTTGGTGATGGTGGTGATGGTGGTGATGGTGACACAGCGGGGCCATGTGCACTGACGTCGAGGGCGTGGGTGCGGCGCATCAAGGCAGCGGGCTGCACCGTTGTTGGCGGCTGTTGTCGCGTCTTTCCAGCAGACTTGGCGCAGATGGTCCGCTGTGTGAAAGGTGACATTGAGGGCGGAAACAGGAGGGACAAGGCTGGCGTACACGGATAGGAAGGGTCTGTGTGTGTGTGTGTGTGTGTGTGCATGCTGGTGGCTTCGTTGCAGCTCCGCAGTTGTGCGTTTCCATTTGTTTATTTCTCCTTTACCCACGTGTCCATCACTTAACCAACCCTCACCTAATGCTGTTGCATGTGTTCACCAATACTAAAATCAACCCTTCCTCCTTCTTTCCCAATCCAAGTCATGGTGTAGCAGGGGCGGGGTTGTAGTGGCAGCAGCAGAGCGTGTGCATGTGCGGCGATGACCACTGCTGAAACGGTGGCTCCATCGTGTGTGGCGGGCAGGCCAGCATCACGTCTGTGAACTGCGTGTGTCGCTGCTGCCGGCAGTGCCAGAGCAAGCGCAGCACGCTGTCATCGTTGCATAGCGCTGCCGATGGCTGGTGCGCGCACGATTTCATCTCCTCAGCTGTTGCGCACTGCTGCAGCACGTGCCACGTGTCATCCTGCTCGTCCCTACGGTGTTGAAACCAGCGTGAACGCGGTCGTGAGCTGAGGTCGTCACAATTGCGACTGTGCATGCAAGCACGTGAGCAGATGAGCAAAATGCAACAGCGTCATAGCATGTGGCATATTTCTTCTTCTCCCCCCCCCCCGCCTGTGTCTGAGCTTCCAATACACGCAAAGCGCTCACATGACTCACAACATGAGCAGCGTGCGCGTGTGCCTGAGCAGACGCATGTGTACGGCGTCGTTTGTCGGATGCTGCGGCGTGTACAGTTCTGGGCTGTGGTTCACCTACGCATGTGTGTGTGTGTGTGAGTGAGTGAGTGAGTGTGAGTGAGTGAGTGTGTGTGAGTGAGTGAGTGTGCGCGCGTGAGAGTGTGAGTGTGTGTGTGTGTGTGTGTGTGTGTGTGTGTGTGTGTGTGTGTGTGTGTGTGTGAGTCAGTGTAAACATTGATGTCTACTTCTGCCCACGCGGGACATGCTGGAACGCCATGGGTTCTTGAGGTAACAACCCCGAACACGCGCGCGCGCGCACTTCTCGTCCCGTCACCTCGAGAAGGACGGGTTTAAGGCGACCGCTGGCCGTTGTTCTGTGAAAGGGTGGTGGAAGCATGACGCAGGGGTCAACGTATGATGAACTGCTGTTATCCTCACAAACGCGCTCGCAGTGGACATCATATCTTTGCCATGATATCATCGTCATCGCATCAACATCGCAGGACTAACACCACCATCATCATCAGCAGCATCGTTGCTACCATCGTAAAAACACACATGCATGCAACAGCATTCTCTTCACGCACAACAAGATGTCGACGCCGTGGATTTCAAAGCAGTCCAGTCCACACGGCGGCAAGTGGCGCTACCAATGTGCAAGTGTGTGAAATGGATGTCAGGCTGCATCGGTGAACATCACGCAAGCACACACACATAAGCACACACAGAAGCAAAGCACAAGCAAGCACACACAGAAGCAAAGCACAAGCAGACACACACACACACACACACACACACACACACACACACACCCTCTCTCCCACCGATCGAATGGTTGGACTTGACATGACGACGCGGCGGAGAATGGCTTTGACGTCCTGCATCACCGTGTGCGTGTTCGCTTCACCCACTTCGGCATGCTGCCAGTACTTGTGCAGTGGCTGTGGGCACTCTGGGGAAAATGAGCTGTCGCTGGCTTGGTTGCTGGTCTTGCACTTGTTTGCGTGCTTGCTCACGGCTGCATTCGTCAGGTGTGACGCTGTCTGCCTGCAATCACACCCATATAGAAGTTGAGCAAGTAACGTGTGTGTGTGTCTGTGTGTGTGTGTGTGTGTGTCTGTGTGTTTGTCTGTCTGTGTGTGTATTGCTACTCCTTCACTTTCCACTGCAAACACTCCCACCGCCCGCCCCTCCCCCTCCCTCACACACACACACACACACACACACACAC